TTTTTAGTTGAGAAATACGTAAATTAATTTGGCGTGGAATTTGGTTTAGACATTTCAAAGAATATTACAACAAAATGAAGTTTATTAGTCTCATTTCTTGTTTTAAGAAATATAAATAGGAAGCTAACATTTTGTTTTATTTTTTATTTGTGAAATGTGTACTAAATATTAAAAAGATTAAATGTAACATAATTACTTTTTAATATTTTATATTAACATAATTACTTTATTTCTCATTAATAAAGATCAATGAGAAATAGTTACAAATGCAACTTTTTCTTTCCTAAAAAGTAAAAAAATAAGGGATTGGAATATTACCAAAAGGTCTGTAGATCTCATATTCTTGCTTCATTTTTAAAATATAAATATGTATAATAATTGTTTGTTATTTATCTTTTGTTGAATAAATAAATAGAAATATGTTTGACAAACTTTTATTATTTTTCGTTCTCCTAAATTATAATTGAAAAATAAACTATTCAAAATTATTACATTTTATTTTATATTTATTACACAGAGGTTAATAATATTTCAATAATACTTTTATTTATCTTATTTAAAAACTGAAAATAATAAACCAAAGTTAAGAAATAAATTTTTCCCCAAAATTCTATAAACAATTTTGGAGAGTTTTCTTTCTTAATTGAGAAAATAAAATATTGTCAAATATATGTGCTTTTAAAACAGTGAAAAAAAAGCGAAAACAAGAATATTACCAAAAACAATTCTTTTAACTTCCTATTTTTTTAGATAAATAATATTTCATTAAATAACTAAATAAATGTCATTTCTTCCCCACGGTGGATATATAATTAATCAACACCAAACAGGGCCACCATTTTTTTTCTTGCTAGAATTCAACCGCTCGTAAAATAATGATGATTCGAACCATTGACGTGTTAGTTGGTAATATGTATGTCTTAACTTAACTTAAACCATTGAAATGTAGTTAAGTTGGCAACACAACCGCGCCATTTTAGATAAGTTACATGAAATTTTATAAGGGAAAAAATCCAATTGAGATGTAGTCAGGTTGGCAATACCACGACTAATTTTTTCCTTTCTGTAATATGTTGTCATGTGAACGTAGGTACATATCTTAAAATTGACTAAATAAAAAGAGACAGGTATGGGTGTTTTTATTTGTCTTTTATTATAAAATATGGTTGACCAAACCTTCTCTTAAAAATTCCTCAATATACTATTTACTTAAAAATATATTTATGAGAGACTACTTTTATAGTTTAAATTTAAAGAAATAATTTGTCTATAATTGTCTTTTTAAAAATTAATTTTGAAATCAACTTGTTTTATTATTTTAAAAAAATTGCATGTTCAATAATCCCATAACTAGCTGCAATATCTTATATCTACCTGTTTTTTATTCCTTGGTAGGAAGGTGGTGGGTCAAATCACTCCCTTTTTTTCATCAAATATGAAATATATAATAAAAAGGAATCTAAAAAAACCTCTATTTGACTAATTCATTTATGAGATTTCTAAGATCTTTTCCCATATTTTTCCAATAAATATTCCTAGTTCCCATGTATTTTTTTTCTTTTCTATTTCTTTAAAATTTTAATATTAAACTAAAATTTTAAAAAATAGAAATTACTTGACTTTGCTGTTACAAAATATAAACAATAGTAATAACAACAACAACTTTCTATTTATTAAAACAAAAATTTAGAGAAAGCATGTTAAAAAAATTTGCTAA